AAACATTACAATTATGAAATGTACATTCATTTGAAAATTGAAATGTACACTCATTTGAAATGTACACTCATTCAACCTCACGCAACCTACACAAAATTCAGTTATCTGCTAGCAGATAACTGAGTTATCTGCCAGCAGATAACTAAATTTTGTGTAGGTTGCGTGATTGCGCGATTTAACTGTAAGCTCTTAGCCAATCAAATTGCTTTTACCAACTGCAATGTATAATAATAGGTTTTATTAAGTGTGTCGAAAGAGAGAAATTAGACGATATGTCACATATACAAACTGCTTGAAATGATCGAACTCTTGGATAGGATAACTTTATTTAAACACGGTAAATACTCTTCAGGATTTACACACAGCTGCTACGCATATCTATATATTAAAAATATTTACAATTTATACTAATAAATAATTATGGATGAGAATATAAAAATACCCGTGAAAATACCCGTATTGATTACTAATTACTAATAACTAATTATATAACACCAAAACCTGCTTTCCAAGAGTGCCGTGTGTAATATTATAACTTAAGTCTTAATCCGTGAAAAAGTCAATGCAGTCTTTAAAATAATTTGCTTTAAAATAATTTAGGTTATTTGTTTGTCGCAACCCAGTAGGAAGATCATTCCACAGCACCGCACCAGTATAGCTAAAACTATTCTTTAAATATGCTTGTGTGATGTTACTCTGAGTGTGTATCCACACAGGGCAGGCTTGAAAAATTTGTCTGGCCACGGTGGGATTCGAACCTACGACCTTTGGAATACTAGCCCAATGCTCTGCCAACTGAGCAACCGACCTGACAGCGTAGCTCAGTTGGCAGAGCATTTGGGCTAGTATTCCAAAGGTCGTAGCTTCGAATCCCACCGTGGCCAGGCATATTTTTCAAGCCTGCCCTGTTTGGATACACACTCAGAGTAACATCACACAAGCATCTTATTCACCTGAGTACATTACACCAACACAGCAAATATTCTGTAAATAGTTTGTGCGGCGCTTCAGAATAGCTAATTTACCCTCGGTGTCTCTCAATGAATAATTTGCTACACTGCTACGGTTCACGAATATGGACTGCCTATTAAACCTAATTAATAGGCATCCGACCAATTTCTAATGATGGTGAATAGAACAAGGGCAAATAATGTTAGCCAATCAGCGCGTTTGTTTACATTTTGCGTTCTTGACCAATCAGAATGCATGAAATTCGAAACATGTAAACAAAAGGAGTGAGAAAATAACACCTTGTTCTACGCCCTCGGTGACATTCGATATTAAACTTTTTTCGCCAAAACTGACAAATTCTGATAAAGCATGCTTTCTTCTTTAATTTCCTCGGGGGGATTTTTAAAATTCGATCTAGAACGCAAAATATTTATGTTTGAATAACAGTGTTTCGACGCGCGTAAAATAGCAGACTCTCACTTGCACTATCTTTACACACACATAAAAAATTGGTAGATTTGGCAGTTTAAATTTATTTTCCCCACACCACAGCTGACATGTTTTTAAATATTACCTATCTGATCTCATCGATCTCATTTCGCATCGGAAATGCGTCACAACGATCCAGGACTGACAGGTACAATATCGCATGACTCATTACTGTACATTAAAAGTACATATCCGGTTGGCAAAATGGCGATTGTCTGACAGACCTTCGCGAAGGGCTTAATATTTTTGCTAACAAACTGTTCACGAGGGTTTCGTTCTGTTCGTCTTCTAGTTCGTCGTCAATCGTCATCGGCTGCCTCACTTTCTTGGTCGCTTTCGTCCTTTTCAAAGCAAGTCGCCGGGGCAATCAGCGTTAATATTTGCTGTCTTTCGAAGACCTTCCAAGAGCTTCAACATTTGCCAACGTTGTTGCTTCACAAACTGGGCAATCGCTGATGTTGGGCAGGATGCATTCGATGTGGAACGCAGGTCCACAACCACGGAAAACGTTCCAAGTGGATTAACCTTTTCGCAGGCAGGCAAATCGCAGGTAAGATTTATATTTTATATTTACAGATCTTGATACATTTATAGTCAGCATCCTTTGGTGATTGTTCCAAAATATGAGTGTGTGCCAAAGTTAAAATATTACTCATAATCTCCAGAACATGTTTGGACAATGTTTTGAATCACTGCAGTTTAGAATTAGCAGTCGTTTTAAAGACAACAGAACTGGCAGCCATGGCACCCCATAACTATTCAGTGTACAATACCAGACAATGTAAATTACCACCTCCCCCAACCCAGAAGTAGGCAGTTTTTATTTCCCAGCACTGCATAATCAAAATTGCTGGATTGTATAAATGTCTGGCTTTGTCTCAGTGGCCCTGCTTTGCCCTATGAACCCCACACTTCCTAGATTCAAGCAAGCGGGGACTTATATTGACTGGTACTTAGGTCCTGTTTATATGGAAGCCGGGCTGGCCCGCTAAGTGAGACAGCCTGGTAAGCGAGATCTCGCTGTGTAGTTATTTTTATAGTAAAACTATTGTGCGTTTATATGGACAAGTGGGCTGGCCAGGTTGCCGAGATCTC